CTGCGGTTTACTGTGGGCTTGTGGAGGATCTTTGGGTCTTTTCAACAGGATTATGGTGGGGTATATAGTCCCTGAAGACCAGGCTGGGGGCTCGGGTAGAAGAGAGCTGGCTGGATCTCTGCTGTGGAGCCCCAGGAGGCTGAATGCTGGGTTTTTCTGTCTTAGCTCTAAGACATAGGAGTATGTGGGGAATATTCCTTTGTGACACTGGAAGGCCAGGTAGCTACCCCAGAACACAGCAGAAAAGGCAAGGTGTGCACGGGCTCCTGTGGCCCCTAGCGCCCCCTAACCTTATCGGCCAAGTGTTGGGACCCGCTCAGCTACCTCTGAGGCGGTCGGTGCTCCTTGGAGTGAGCAGGTCACGCCTGAGAGGCCTGGATACTGTCAGTTCTCTCTGCAGTGGACAGGGCATGCCTGAGAGGCCTGTGGATCGGGATGCTGCTGCTGGTAGAGGAAGACCTGTCATCCTGAGTTGTGGCTAGTTTGTCACTAGGCACTTAGAGGGTTATTTTCGAAAACCATCTTTCTTCAGCTTGGGTGCAGAAAATGGTCTCCCAGCTGGGCTCATGTTCCGCAGCTCTCTGGTGTGCTGGGTGCCAGCCCACGTCCACTGAGCAGTGCCCTTGCTGGTGTGGGACCGGTCGCACGGGAGCATGAAGTGGGCGCCAGGAGTGCTGACACCGCACACCTAGTCGTCTGCGTAGAAATTGATTTTGTCCTGTGAGTGATAAATTGACACGTGGAGAGAGCATCTGGGTTTCCCCGAGGCCATGGGCTTGCTGGCCGGCCTGGCCCAGAGCATCTGGGCCACCAGACCCACGGGAGCCCGGGGAGTCCGGGGAGCCTGGCCAGCGGCAATACCACACTCACCCTCCCACAGGTGCCATGGCCAATTATCTTGACGTCGTTTGGCCCTGAGTGGGCAGCTCTATTAGCACAGTGGTGAGTTTGAGCCATACCAGCAAACAGAACAATTCTAGGGTTGTTTCAGAACAGCGGAGGGCATTTAAGTGTTGCAGGTTCTGTGTAGCTCACGTTGAGGTGGTTGTGTGTATAATCTACAGGAGCATGGTGGTGCCCCTTGCTAGGCTTGTGTTTTCACAACCTGGTGGCAGGTTCTATGTCTGATCTGTGGCTCCATGTAGCCCCTGCTCTGTGGAATCTGCCTGGTGGTGTCAGCCCCCGCCTCTTCAGGAGAGGGGCTCTGGGAGGTGCTCTGCAGTAGGGGTCAGACACTTGGCGGCTGGTGGGATCTGTAGGAGTTGCAGGGCTCTGAAGAGGCAGGAGTGCTGTGCTGGGCCCCAGCGAGCAGAGTGGCTGCTTGGGAGTCAGTCTGTTGTCTCGGATGTTTAGGGGCTACAGTATGTCCCAAACGGGGTGTCTTGTCGCTGGGGTCAGGAAATGAGACTTGGCAGAGTGCTAGATCTCAACTGAGGTCCTTCACACGTACAGCGTGCAGCCAGGACCAGGGGGGGCGGCCTTGTTAGTCTGCAGTGTGGGGCCCTCCCTCCGGCGCCTCCTCAGGCTCATCCTGCATGCGCACACTGCCTCGGGCGTAGTCCTGGTGGGAGTGGATTTGGCCGATGCCACAGTAGCTACAAGTTTTTTGTTAGTTTTTTTTTTTTTCTTTGTGCAAAAGGCATTCAGATGTAATTTTCACAATTTTCTGAAGCAGTCTCAGGATGACAACTTAGTGGGCACCCATCCAGATAAGGTGGTGTCAAGTTTTAAAAAAAATTGATTTTATGTAGTTTCAAGTAAATTAAAAAAGGCCATCTGAAAAACACATATTGTTTGTTGCTGTTAAAAATCCTTAGAAGCAAAAAGGCAGAAGGAAATTTGTCTGTAGTACACATAGGCCTATAGTTGTGTGTGTGTGTGTGTGTGTGTGTTGCTCCTGTTCTGAGGATTGAATGTAGGGCCTTCTACCACTCACGTCACACTCCCAGCTCTGTTGTGTGTGGCGGTGGCATACACAAGTGGTCAGTGCCTGTGCGTCCACACCGGAGGGCCGCTCCCCAGCAGCTGGTGGGCCACGGGGCCGGGCTGTTGGAGGGCCGCTCCCCCTGCAGCTGGCGGGCCACGGGGCCGGGCTGTTGGAGGGCCGCTCCCCAGCAGCTGGTGGGCCACGGGGACGGGCTGTTGGCGGGCACGGCAGCCTGTCCTCAGTCTGGTGCGGCGCTCCTAGGGCTGCTGGGGGCTGCATGGCACATTGTGGCCCTTGCTGGTTTTGATCTATGTGGTCTGGTTTCTCTGTCAGCGCTGACTCCAAGTGTGGGTTGTTCTGGGCGACCTTCTAGTGCGTTTGAGCTCCACGGCAGCTGTCTGCAGCCGACGCCTAACGGGTGGGGTGGCCTTGGACCGCCGGCTTGGGCACTGCTGGAGCTGTTGGTCAGCAGCGTGCTCTGTGGACGTACCCGTGCTTGTGACTTGTGGTGTGTGGACCTGGGGATCTGCCACCCTTTCCATGCCTGCCACGTGGGGTCGGTTGGTCACAAGGATCCTGCTGTATGAGGAGCAGAAAGGCCACCTCCATTTCCTCCATGGGTAGATGATTACACATTTGTACTCTGCCTTCTGTTCAGAGGTTTTAGAGTGTAACCTGAGGGGCTTGCTTTGCCACGCAGGCACCCCACCACGCCACCAACCCTTTGCTGTGCTGGTTGTTTTTGAGACAGGACCTTGCTTCCTGCCCGCGGTGCGTGTGGATTGCAGTCCAGCCCTTCTGCTTTGTGTTTCCTGTTACAGCTGACTGACAGGCACCTACCTCCATCCAAGCTGATTAGCTGAAATAGTCTTGTGAACTTTTCTGCCCTGGCTGGCCTAGAACTGCCATCCTCGCCATCTCAGCCTTGGAAGGAGTTAGGATGTCATGTGTGAGCCACTGGCATATGGCTTACTTCATTATTATTCCTATTTCTGGTGTTATTACTGCCCGTCCTGGGGCTTGAACTCAAGGCCTTATGTTTTTACTCAGATTGCTTGTTCAGCTGGTGCTTTACCACTTGAGCCACATTGCCAGCTTAGCTTTTCTTGCTTGTTAATTGGAGATGAGTCTTGCTGACTTTCAAGCTTGGGCTGGCTTCAGACTACTATTTTCAAGTCTCAACCTCCTGAATATCTAGAATTTCAGGTGTGAGCCACGTAGTTACCTTTCTTCTTAATAAATTTGTAGATACCATGTGAGCTATTTAGTGTTTTGTTTTGTTCTGTTTTTTTTGGTTGGTCGTGGGGCTTGAACTCTGGGCCTGGGCGCTGTCCCTCAGCTCTTTAGCTCAAGACAAGCACTTTATTGCTTGAGCCACAGCGCCACTTCTGGCTTTCTGGTGATTAATTGGAGATAAAGAGTCTCATGGACTTTCCTGCCTGGGCTGGCTTTGAACTGTGATCATCAGATCTCAGTCTCCTGAGTAGCTAGGATTATAGGCATGAGCCACCAGCACCCGTCTATTTAGTAGTTTTTATGGAAGTATAGTTGTCTATCTTGGACCTAGAAATTGAGACTTTTAGCAGGATCTTTCAGAAAATTCAGTTTGCTGTGATTATTTAAAAAAAAATCAAGCTGGACGCTGGAGATTCTTATCTCCAATAAACCACCAGAAAACCAGAAGTGGCGCTGTGGCTCAAGTGGTAGAGCGCTAGCCTTGAGTGGAAGAGCTGAGGGACAGCGCCCCAGGCCCAGAGTTCAAGCCCCATGACTGATCAAAGGAAAAAAAAATCAAGCCAGGCGCCAGTGGCTCGCACCTGTAATCCTACCTGTAATCTCAGGAGGCTGAGATCTGAAGATCACGATTCAAAGCCAGTCCGGGCAAGAACATCTGTGAGACTGTTTTTTTTTTTTTTGGGGGGGGGGTCGGGTTGTGGGGCCTGAACTCTGGGCCTGGGTGCTATCCTGCGCTCTTCAGCTCAAGGCCAGTGCTCTACCTCTTGAGCCACAGTGCCACTTCTGTTTTCTAGTGGTTTATAAGAGTCTCATGGACTTTCATGCCCGGGCTGGCTTTGAACCGTTATCCTCAGATCTCAGCCTCCTGAGCAGCTAGGATTACAGGCGTGAGCCACTGGTGCCCAGCTTCCTTTAGTATTTTAATAAATGCAATGTGTATTATTTTTAAGTAGTGAACATGTTAAGCATTTATAAGGAAACCCTTCCCAAGCACTTGAAAAAATGAACCTAATGACCTGAACAGATGGAGTAAAACTTGAAGTGTTCCAGCACTCTTCCAGAGTGTCTCAGCGTCTCCCCTGCATGGCTTCCATGTAGCGCCAGTTGCATGTGTGTGGGTAGGTTCTGGAGGAGAAACCCCAGGCCCTTTCTTTTCTCAGCCGCTGCAGGCTGTGGAGGTGGAGATAATAAAACATGCAGGTCACACCTGAGTTGACCCAGGGCTGCTGAAGCCTGAGCCACTGTGTCTGTGTCCTCAGTCCTGGAGGCCCCAAGACCCCTGACTAACTGATCCAGGCAGCAAGGGGGCCTCTTCCCTCCCTGGAGGTTGCTGAGGTCCTGTGATGAGAAGATGTGGCCTCTGTCCTGACGCGGTAGGTGTCCTCACTTCTCAGCACAGGTGTCAGCCTTGGTGGCTGCAGCACTGCCATACTTTCCTGAACGAACTATCATCTCTTCATGTGGCTCTGTTTTGGTGCTGGTCTTGGGGCTTGAACTCAGGACTTGGGAACTGTCCTGGGCTCTTTTTGCTCAAGAATAGCACTCTACCCCTTAAGTCATAGGTCACGTCAGCTCTTTTTTGTGGTTAACTGGAGAGAAGACTTCCCTTCCCGGCCCGTCTTTGAGCCACGATCCAAGGGTCTCGGCCTCCTGAGTAGCTAGGATTAGAGGCGTGAGCCACCAGCACCCGGCTTCCTGTGGTTCTCCAGGAAACCTTTAAAATACTTGTCCTCCTGATTTGAATTGGTGCATTTGTTTTCTAACCAGGTTGTGACCGTGTGTGCCACCTCTCTGTGCCAGCTTCTGCCAGCTGTTCACTTTCTTTGTCTCCCGCCAGTGGTCACCGTGATCCTGAAGGCACTGACCTACGACAAGAAATGCGGTACCTGCAGCGTGGGTGCCAATGTCAGGGATGCCGCCTGCTATGTGTGCTGGGCCTTTGCACGAGCCTATGATCCGCAGGAGCTGCGACCCTTTGTCACTTCCATTTCCAGGTAAAACCTGTTGTTCGTGTGCTGAATGGTGGATATGTATGTTACTTCCTTGATGTTGCTGTATCGAGAATGTTTGTTTTCTGCTCTGTAACATGAAGCAGCCCCAAAATGGCTCCCTCCTGTGGGCAGGCGGTTGTCTCTGTTGTCCAGGAGGAGGCTTGGGCTGTGGGCAGGCTCTTGGTGAGGTGGTTAGTGCTGTGGCACTGGCGGGGTGTGTGTGGGGGCAGGTGGTATTGAGGCTGGCCCTAGCAGTCCTGGAAACTTAGCACCTGCAGCCTGTACTTGAGGCTGCTGCTGCTGCCGCCCTGACGTTCTAATAGTTTGTGGCTTGGATTACTCACAGAACTCCTGGGTCACACTTCAGTCCAGCAGTGTGAAATGCAAACAGTATCTGCGGAGCTCTTTGAGGAGGGGAAGTGTCCTGGGGACAGAAGTGGACCTAGCAGGTTGTTGTGTCCCAAGCCAGCCCTCTGCGTCCTGAGGAGGAGGAGGCCCGAGGCTGCGGGGCTGGGGGCCTGCCAGGGCCCCTTACCGGCTGGTACCAGTGCCCTGCTGGATTTTCAGCAGTTAGTCTTTTTTTTTTTTTTGCTTGGAAATTACAAAACAGCCACACCCTTAATTCAGCAACTTCTTTTTGTGTCAGTTCTAGAGTTTGTATTCTGGGTCTAGGCACTGCCCCTGAGCCTTTTTTTTGTTGTTGTTGGTGGTGGTTGTGGGGCTTGAACTCAGGCCTGGGTGCTGTCCCTGAGCTCTATCTAGCTCAAGGCTGGTGCTTTACCATTTTGGCCACATCTCCATTGCTGTTTTTCTGTGTTTAATTGGAGATAAGAGTCTCCTGGAGATTCCTTCTAGGACTGGCTTTGAACTGCAATCCTCAAATCTCAGCCTCCTGAGTAGCTAGGATTACAGGCGTGAGCCACTGGTGCCTGGCAGTAACTCTTTTTAAAACTTAATTTTTAATTGTTGCTATAAAGGTGATGTATACAGGGTTAAAAGCCAGATAAAGAGTACATATGTGTGTGTATATATATATATATATATATATATATATATAAACTTTTTAAATTGTTATTAAAAGGGTTATGTAAAAGAGGTTATATTTACAAAAGTTAAGCAACTTCTTAGTTTATTTTGTGCACCAGTCTGCTTCATGAAGTTAGGCTGAGGAAGCTGGCAGTGATTTGCCACTTGCTTCCTAAGGAGCCAGGGAGAGGACACTGTGAGGTCTTCACAGGGCCCTCAGCCTCAGCATGCGAACGAACACCTGTTGGAGGCTGTGGCCTGTTTGCCATTAGATGCCATGGGACAGATGCTGCTGGCAACCAGTCAAGCCCGTGTGGGCTCCCAGGCAAGGGTTTCAGTGACTGGAGCTCACCTGTGTTCTCAGGAATGTCTTCTTGCCCATGGTGCGGTGCACGGGGTTCCGAAAGGGACTTTGCGTCTGTTTGCTTCCTGGAGGTCTGTATCTCCTGATCTAGAGGAGGAGCCTGCCCCATTCTGGGAGATAAGGTGCTTCTGAGGAAGTTATAAACATGTCTGTCTGTTCTTTCTTGTCCAACCCTTGGAAGGGAGTGGTGGAGCTGCAGGGTCAGTGTTGGCAGGTGGCTGTAGATAATGGCCTATCTGAGTCTGGGGAGACCCAGAGGTGGCCCACAGCAGGTAGACTGCATCTCTGGCCCATCAAGGTGCCTGACAGCCAATTTGGCATGCTCCTGGTCGGTGCAGCCGGCGGCTCCCTTCCGCCATGCATTCTGTGCGGTTCGCCGTTCATATGGCTTTGGGCAGGGATCTTTCTGCTGCTTCCAATCCTTTTTTTTTTGGTGCGTGTGTGTGTACACACATATTGGAGCTTGAACTCAGGGCCTTTTGCTTTCATCTTTTTCTGTTCATAGCTGGTGCTCTGTCACTTGAGCATGCCTCCACTTTTGGCCATTTTTGGTGAGTTGGAGATCAGTCTTTTGATCTGTTTGACTAGCTCTGAACCACAATTCTCAGATATCAGCCTCTTGAGTAGCTAGGGTTACAGACATGAGCTGCTGGCGCCTGGATTTCTGCTGCTTTCTTATTCCCATTGTTTTGGAAGCTGATCTATAACTAGGGAGCATAAGCAAAAACAATTTTTCTCATGTTCACGTCAGCTGTCATTGAGCCGGGAAACTCGGTTAGTCTATGGCGTCTTGTTCTTTGGCAACCCCTTGGTGCAGAGGTTGGGAACTGCAGGTCCAGAGTCCGGTCTGGGGTCAGGCGGGTGGCATGGTGCTGACCCTCCAGGTCTGCAGGTCTGGGGTCAGGCGTGTGGCATGGTGCTGACCCTCCAGGTCTGCAGGTCTGGGGTCAGGCATGGTGCTGACCCTCCAGGTCTGCAGGTCTGGGGTCAGGCGCGTGGCATGGTGCTGACCCTCCAGGTCTGCAGGTCTGGGGTCAGGCGTGTGGCATGGTGCTGACCCTCCAGGTCTGGGGTCAGGCATGGTGGCATGGTGCTGACCCTCCAGGTCTGGGGTCAGGCATGTGGCTGACCAGGAGACTTTGGAGAGCCCTTGGCTCAGATGTGTGGCTGCTTCCCACTTGTAAGTGAAAGCAGTTGTTTTACCTCCGGCCTGGAGGTAAAATCTCGGCAGCTATGCCTCACCTCTCGGTGCTGTCTCTGGCACAGCCAGGGGGAGGGGCAAGGCTGGAGGAGAGAGGAAGAGGGTGGAGTGGGCACACACTCAGGCTGGGGGCCATGAACCTCTTACCCTGTTTTTTTCTTAGTAACAATGAAATCACAAGGCTGAGCTGCCACCTTTGAAGTGGAAAGGTGCAAGTTCAACCGTCCGAACTAACCAAGGGGCCAGCTGGGCCACAATGAAAAGCCTTGGCCACAGACTCCTGCTGGGGAGCTTAATTACACTCCACGGTTCCAGAACTTACACTGCAAAATCTCTGTGCAGATTTTGTAGAAAAAAACACCAGTTTTTGAAAAAAGCAAAACTGAAAACTGGCCGATAGAATGGACTGTGGTCTTTTTATGCTGTGGTCTGGCTAGTTTGGTGCTGTGGTTTCTTGAGCTCTGGCTTTTGGGTGGCTGCGTGTTCTTGGGGCCCAGCTGCACTCATGCCTCAAGCCGAGTGTGTGAAGTTGCTACAGTTGCTGAGGGACTGGGTACCTTTGGCATGTGGAGAGAAGAGAGAGCCGAGCTCTTGGAGCTGGCCCGGAAGGGTTCCTGGCCAGGAGGTTTTACTTTCTGTGGTGACCACAGCAGGTGGGCTGGGTGTAGTCTGTCTGGAGTTTGTGTGGACTGAGCCTCCCTGCGGGTCCCCTGTGGAGGGGATCTCGGCCTTGGAGGCTACAGAGGTGGCTTCTGCCAGGACTTGGTAGCTGGTGTGGGAGTGGCCTGGAGGCTGACAGGTTTGTGTAGGCACCTGAGGCTTTGAGAATGACCTAGTCCTGGTCAGAGAAGCGTTGGTACAAGGCTGGGTGCAGCCTCAGTCTGTGGAATCTCACGTTACTCATTTGCTCAAGGAGGGTGGGTTTGTTGATTTACTGACCAAGCCTGAGGAACTGCTGAGTGCACAAAGAGGCCATGCCTGTGTGGCGATGGAGCTGCCGGCCCTCACAGCCTCTGGATTTCTGCTAAGCTGGGAGTCAGCGACCCCGCAGGGGCCGCTGTGGCGTTTCCGCTGAGAAGGCCCCGGGCCCCGGGCTCATGCCAGCCCCGATGGGCAGCAGTGCCCTTTGGAGCTGTGCAGGTTTCCGGTTCCACAGGTTCCGAGGGAGCCTGAGCTCAGTCCTTCCTGGCTCATCTGACTGATGGGGGAGGAGGCATGTTGGGGGTGAATCAGGTGCACCCGTGAGCGGGAGCATGCACTTGCCTCCAGCCTGGAGCTGTGCACCGCCCAGTATCGGTCTGTCGGGTGTGCCTTCAGCACTGTTGCCTGGTTCTTCATGAGTGGCTGTTCTAATGACACTTTTTAAGGCCATTAATTCTGGCACATGATAAAATCTTGGTAACTTACTTTCACAAACTTCTCAGTAGATCCTATACAAATGGACAGTTGAGGTCAAAGTGAAGTAGGCATGTCGGTCAGAAAGCTGGGACAGTGGCCAGAGGCACCTCTACCACTGCCCAGTGTTCCAGTCTTCAGAGGCCAACACAGGCCAGCAGATCACTTTTCCTAGATGATTTTTTTAGTTGGGGGGGGGGGGATAAATGAAGCTAGATTAACTAACTGCTCCTGTGAATTGTCCCTTTCTGTTTTAGGAATATGACAAAGGAGCTTTTTAGGCGTGGTTTAAATCACTTTTGAAGTTTTGCTAATTGCTGTTGGAAGGCCACTTTTTCCCAGCTTTGTGCACAGACAGCTGGAGATGGAATGGCTGTGGCATGAGTGGGGACACGATGTGAGGTAGAAATGTGATGGAAAGGCAGCCTGTTTGTCTACAACATTCCCTCCGATCAGTAATAAAGCCAATTTGCAGGAAGGAAAAGAAAGTGAACTCTACATTGCTGCCAGCTCTGCCTGTCACCTTCCAGTGATTTCCTCACCTGAAACTCTTCTGTAAGCTGAGCTGTTGATGATCACTCCTGCCCAGGCACAGGCCTGCCCGCGCCAGGGGCAGCGCCCAGCCTTCGCCTTCACGGAGCAAACCAAACCGGCTGGGCCGCGTGGGGAGCCGGTGAGGGGCTGGGATTGGCTCATTGAGATCTCTACCTTGAGGGCAAGATTGTCCTGAAAACTCAGGAAATGGCAACTGTTGCTTAAAGCTATGTCCTGTTCTTGACTAGCCTCCCAAATAGCCTAGCTTCCAGAGAGAAAAATGTTTTCAGGAATAGTCCAGCTCAGTACTGACCAGGGAAGCCATCTCTGCTGGCTCTGGTGTGACCCAGAAGCTCTTGGAAGGTTCACCATGTTACCCAAAGTGAACTTTGCTTCTGTTTATGGGCTGGGGAAATTCAGACAAAGATAAATCTAACCTTTCAATGTGATTGGTAACTTGGAAAAATATTTACAGGTAATAAA